ATGTGCCACATTATTCCCTTGCCTAAACACGTGCCGGAGGACCACTTCCTTCTCCTGGTTCATTGACAACTTGCATTCATTAACAAAATCATCATATAATTTATTGCCATATCGTATAGAGTGAATTACCTCTGTGCAGTCTGTTTCTATCTCCAATGAAAACATTCCCCATTCTTGAGCTGTCCGAAGCCCTTCAAGAAGAGCCTTAATTTCTGCTTCTAATGATCCATTTGCATATGTATATTTTTGTAAAACCAACCACCCAACTTCCCTTTGTATTACGGAATACACCTCTCAGACCACTCTTTTGATAGCTGTTCTTAGAACTAGCATCAATATTTTAATTTAAACCAGCCCTTAGGAGGTTTGTGCCATTTTACTTTGAAGGAGATTTTCTTTAGAGGGACAAAGTTATTTTCAGTAAGAAGAGTAAATTCAGTAGCCTTTTGGTTAATAAGGTTTATGTTAATGGGTTTGTTTGTGTTATTTTGGTTATTAGTACTCCCATTTACCCATATATGCTAGATGGCAAATGGAAAGAAAGAATTCCACTTAATATACTTACTTCTTAATGAGCAATCACAAAATCTTTTAGTCGAAAAAGCCAGTGATAGCCTGCTGGATTATAGAAATTAGGCCATCCCATATTTTCTCAAAAGGAATTGGTGGATTTGCAATGAAGAAAATATGGGTGATGGTTTTCTCTTCTTTCTATTTGCAAATAGGGCATAAGGGTATATATTAATACCTATATCAGCTAGGTATTTCCTGCATTGAATCCTATTATGAAGGCATTGCCATAAGAAGAATTTTATATTGTTTGGACAAGTTAAATCCCTAATCCATTTATTATCTAGTTGGCTATGCAAAGGAAAAAAGCCCTTAGTAGTGAAAAACCCTTAGTAATTAGTGACCATATAAGAATATACTTTGTTGGTCCCTTAGATAGAATTCTAACCTTAGAAATATTTTCTTTGATATCGTTAGGGATATCAATGGAAAACTTAGTGAAATCCCATTTATAATCAATGTAGATATTCCTAATTTTTAGGGAGTAATCAAAAATCGAGAAGGGGACTTCAATCGAATTTCTGAGATTTTTTATTTTGGGAATCCAGCTTGTGTTCCATATATTTAAATTTGTTTGGTAGTGGGGTGACCATATAATCCCTTTCGAACATAACTCCCACCCCCTTAATATTCTCTTCCAAAGGAAGGAGTGACTAAATTTAGTAGTACTCACCCCATATGAAGTAATAATAAGCCTTGCCCATGGAGTTGTGGCATTTGTGAATAATCTCCATATTAGGACATCTAAGTTGCACATATTTTTTGTGTTAGCATTATGAATGCCTAGGCCTCCATCGGATTTAGGTTGGAAAACATTTGACCATTTTATAAGGTGAATTCTTTTCCTTTTTTGCAGTTGTGCCCCATATAAAATCCCTCTAGACTTTATCAATATTTTTAAGAGTCCTTTTGGTAGTAGGGTATACTGCATGTAGTGGTTTGGTATGAAGTTCAGGCATGAATGGACTAAAGTAGCTCTCCCTGCTATATTCATAAATCTCATTTTCCAGGAGGCAGGTTTTGTTCTTATTTTGTCAATTATGAATTGATAATCCGCTGGTCTTGGATTCTTCGATAATATTGGGAAACCTAGGTAGGTACCAAAGGTCTCACTCATTTTTATACCTAGACTATTCATAATGTCATTAATAATGTGAGGTAAGAAATTTTTTGAAAAAAGGATTTTTGATTTTGACGCGTTTATGCTTTGGCCTGATAGATTGCAAAAATAATCACAGCCTGTTTTAATGGCTTGGCAAGATTTGTTTTGCTTTGGCCATTAATGTCAGGTCATCTGCAAAAAAAAAAGATGAGAAATGATGGGTCTTCTTCTCCCTATAGTAATAGGATCCCAATTACAAATATCAACTTGGTGATCAATATACCTAGATAACATTTCTAAACATATGATGAAAATATAAAGTGATATAGGATCACCTTGTCTTATCCCTCGACTTGGCTCGAAGAATTTTGTGATTGAGCCATTAACAAGAATTTCTATATAGCTGGTTGAAATACAACTTAGTAAGAGTTTAGAGAATTTAGGAGAGAAATTAAAGTATTTTAGAGTGCGGCAAACAAAGGACCATTCTATTCGATCAAAAGCCTTTTCAAGATCAATTTTTAGGATCATGTAGCTTGTTTGCCTTTTTAATCTTTTTAGGTTAGAAACTAATTCATGAATGATGATTGCGTAATCATCGACTCTTCTATTCTTCATGAAACTAGCCTGGAAAGGACTAATATTTTGTTCTAGGTAGGGTTTGAGATGGTTTGAAAGAATTTTAGTGATAGTTTTGTAAATAGTATCACAAAGGCCAATTGGTCTAAAATTCTTAATATTACTGGCATTAGGCATTTTTGGAATAAGGCAAAGATAGGTTCTATTTATATCCCTAGGAATTTCTTGTTTCTTGAAAATATCATGACGAAGATTCATTACAGAATGTCCTATAATGTTCCAATATCTTTGAAAAAAAAGAGTGAAGACCATCTGGCCCCGGGATTTTGAAAGGTTTGAATGAGAAGATAGCCCTCCTGATCTCACAGTCTAAAAGAGGATTGTCTAATGAATTAAGGTCTATTTTAGGATGACTAGTGTGATTTTTCCTTATATCAATCCAGTTTGTAGAGGAGTGGGAGGTGGTGAAAATATTAGTAAAGAAACTTAACACGTGAGACGTAATCAAGTGATGTTCATTTATCCAGTTTCCAGCATCATCCTTAAAGTAGGTAATTTTATTTCTTCTTCTTTTTCTATTTGAAGTAGATATATGGAAAAATTTGGTATTTACATCCCCTTCATTAAGCCACATTATCCTTGATCTAATCTTCCAGTAATCCTCTTCTATTTTAAGGATGTCATTGTAGTCCTTCTTAAGATTGTATTCTAAAGATTGAAGGAAGCCACTGTGAGTATAGTTCCTAGAATTTTGAATTCCTTGGAGCCTTGCTAGTATTTTTCTTTTTTCCCATTATATTACCAAAAGTCTTGTCTTTCCAAGGCTTAATACTATCTATAAACTTTTTGCTGGTACTATAGTAATCAATTCCATGCCAATTTTGTCTAACAAGTGTTTGACAATCTGGGTGTCTCCACCAATAATTTTCTAGTCGGAAAGGTTGTATATAACATTGTATATTTCTAGGAATTCTCTCAATTAAAATAGGATTGTGGTCAGAGTAAGTTTTTGGCAGATGAATTATTGAGAAATTTGAAAATAACTCAATCCATTCTTCATTTCCTAGGATTTTGTTTAATATTTCCATAATAAGGCCCTTATTTATATGTCTATGGTTTGACCATGTATATTTGCAACCTTTGTACCCCATGTCCATAAGTTACACTTATTAACTTTTGATGATCAGTAATTAGCTCTATTGTTGTTAATTGGTCTCCTCCCAAATTTTTCGTTTGAGCCCATAATATTATTAAAATATTCTCCTACCATCCACGGGCCTTTATAATTTTATATATATTTTTTAGGTTTTCCCACATAATTTTTCTATAGTGACAGTGAGTACTAGCATATATAGAAGAAAATAACCAAGTTTTACGTATAGGAAGTACCTCAGTTGTTGCATGAATCTCTAGGTTCCTACGAATGAAGTTGTGGACAGTGACCACTTCATGATTCCGCATTACTACCATACCACCTATCTGACTTTCTACTGGCACTTCTATCATCTCCGAGAAGCCACTAGCATTTGCCATGATCTATCATCCTAGTTTCCAGTAAAGTCACCATGCATGGCCTGTGGGTGTCTATCATTTCCCTAAAATTCCTCCTAAAGTTATCATTATTTCCTCCCCCAATATTCCAGATAATGAAGTTAGTTGGGCGGTTCATGGATTGGTTTAGGTTCATGTTTGCTGGGTCCCCATTCTCCCTCACCCCTCCCAGAAAGATAGGGTTCCTTCTTAGTGATGGAACTAGGATCATGGCTCTGTTGCCCACTGTTGGATCTTGGGGTGGCCTGATATCCATTGAGCACTTGTATAGTGCTAGAGGGCAGTTGAGCACATGCCTCTTCTCTTGCATCTCCGTGAAGAGATACACTTTTACCCCGTCTAGGTTTGAGAATTCTAGAACCTGCTCCGAGCCTAGGTTGAGAGGTTCTCCTATCTCCTCCATGACTACTTCTACTTGATCTGGTTCTTGCATTGCATGGGGGTGTGGTGGTGGTGATTGTTGGTTCATTTGATTTGTTGGTTGTTCCTGAACTTGTTGAGTGCTCTCCCATGGCATGAAGATAGGGTTCAGTTGGGTTAGCATTTCTGATGGGAATGTTGACATCCAATTTTGACCCTCTTTTCTTTCAAATTGTTTACTTGAGCTTCTAATATTGTTAGTGATGTAATAATGTTTAATATGATATTTTATTGCTCAAATTGTTTTATTCAAAATTAATCAATCAATGATATTTTCTTTACAAATGTCTCTATCTTATTGAAATAATCATATTCTTATTCATAAAATATTTATTTAAGTTATTTATATATGATTTGCATTCGCATTTTATATTGGTTACATACTAAAATAGATTTCGCCATTTTAATTCATAATAATTCTGTTTGAGCACTATAAAACTATCTAATATAAAAATACATTGTTAGGCATGCCAAACAATTTAATTGTCTATTTATTATTATTATTATTATTATTATTATTATTATTATTATTATTATTATTATTATTATTATTATTATTATTATTATTATTTGGGTCTAAGTTAGAAGTCCAAGTAATTAAAAAGAAGAAGGAAAAATGCCCAAAATCTTAAGGGACTAGCCCATTTCTGTCAGCCCATTCACCAAAGAAGTCCAAATTGTCAACTCATTTAGCCCAACAAAAGAGCCCAACCCGAAATGGCCTGTTTAATTTCAACCCTAAGACAATTAGGTTTATTTTGTGTTGTTTCCCCTTTGCAAACTCCACTCTTGTCCCTCTCCCATGGCAGACACTCTGTTCCTTTTTCTATTTTTGATAAAACTCCAAACATCTTCATCCCTAGGCTAGAAAATATCATTCCATTATAATGAATCTTCATACACCAAACTTGGTCAAACTAGGCTCATAACAAAAAGCCAGGATTACTTTTCAGAGAATGAGATTTGGTCTCTGCATCAAAGATTTGATCCAATGCAAATGGTTTTTTTTGTTCAAAATTCAAATGGTTAGTCCGATTTCCGCTCAATGGTTCCCCAGCCCTAAAATCGTCTCTATAAATACATCCTATTGGTGTCTATTTTGGATATGTTTTGGAGCTACACCTTTACCCCCAAAAATGGTTGGAGCCGCCTACTTTCACCTTAAATTAAATGGTTTTTAGCCGCACTTTTACCCCAAAATTTGATGGTTTTTAGCTGCCTCTTACTCCTAAACTTTTTTTGAAGTCGCTGCCTTTCTCTTTAAACAAAAAGTTTTAACCGCTTCTCGAACCTAAAATCGCTACTTTGAGCCGTCTTCTCTCCTTATTCTGTTCACGTTTTATTCTTCAACAGACTTCCCAAAAGCTTATCCTTTCCCTAAATACTTCGTATTTCTTTTCCAAACTCTCCAACAAAGTTGTTCGTAGTAAAAGTTTCGAGGTCGGAATTTGAGAGCATCTATGATCACCGCCCTCAGTTCACTGCTCTGAAATAGGTCAGTGCTTTTTCTTCTCTTTTCGATTCCGCAGGTCTAAGCATGTTTATGATCTGTACATATTGGTAAAAATGTTGTTACTTCCATTTCCTCTTTTTTGACATTCGAAATGCTTCTTTTAATCTGTGAGGTAATTAGTTTGAGCCGTCACTCTATTTTGTTATTTGCTCGTAGAAACTATTACTTATTAGCTCTTCATGTAGTAGAAAATCATGATTTAGGATGTGTCATGTTTTAGTCCTATTTTAATTGAAAAGAAAACTGTCAGATACAATATTTATGTAAACACTTGTTCGATGTCGAATCTCGATTTAGCATGTCTCGTTAAAATATGTATGTTTGAAAGCAATTTTATGAAGTTAGTAGCTTAAAGCTATTACTTCATGAGTAGTTTAAAACGTCCTTCCCAAATTATAAATTCCTTCAAGAAAGAAAGAAAGAAACTTGCTGATAAGCTAGACATGTTCATGAAGATGGGATTCATAATTTGTTTGTAGGACTGTATGCATTTTCTTTAATTGCAGAAAATTATTATTGTTCTTTTGATGACTATGAATAGCCAAAATAATTAAAATAGGACCTTGGTCGTCATTTGAGATTAGTTATGTTTCAGACCATCGATCTAGTGTAATTTTCCTAGTAATTTTAGTGATGCAAGTCATAAGTCAGAATCAATACATATACTTCTAAATAAAAGTGCAGTATGAGTTTGATCAACTACTTGAAATGCCAAGAAACTTGTTTTAGTCTTCATTTGTTTCAATAAATGGAGCATGGTTTAGCTATAGTTTATTATTGGGAATTTTACGTGTCTTTGGTTCGCCATTTGTTCCATTATGCATAAGTTTCCCCTCTAATTCTACTTTTCGTTTATTTTTTTATTTGCATGTACACTTTGGAGCAAATGAAGTCTTAATTGGAGACTGTCGCAATGGAGTCTCCCACCACCACGTGGAGTCATCGCATAACATATCCCATAGATGTATCGGATAGCTAGAAAACAAGCGAATTACTTGAGGTTGCCTATGACGGCTTTTGTTTTTACTTACTCTGTCTGATGTTGTTAATTTATGTGAATTGTTTTGTTTGAACCTATGATTGATGATTAATTTTATCATTTAAAATTACAGTTTTTAATAAGGACTTAAAAGGATACAATGCACTTAGCGATTTGGGGGTAGTATTTTTTATTTGAAATCTAAGGAAGGAAATTGATTTCTCCTCATCATGTCTTAATAAGTTTGAAAATTTGAACTACTTTTTATAAAAATGTGAGTCATCAAGAATTGGAATTTGGCCAGTTTTTTTGAAGTTATTTGATTTAGAACTTTATCGCATTTGGAGTTAAACAATATTGTTTGTTTCAAAGTTTAATTCTAAAGCCCGTTTTTGCTTATTGTATAAATTTTATTTGGGCACTTACTTAGTAATGCTTTCAAAGTGAAATATTTTATTACGTCTCAAACACTTTATTTTTCCTAATTAATTAACTTAAGTTTGGCCGGTTAACCGTTATTAACGGATCATATATGGTGTTTTAACAACCTTCCCTATAGGATTAATTAGAACCCTTACCCATAATCTTAAGCTAACCAGACCATAAAAATAGAGTTAACTTTAAGCACTACTTAGTTAAAATTGGTGTCCTAATTCACCGTTAAAATAATTAGGTGACGACTCTCTTTAATAAATTAAACTCCAAAATTACCAATATGTTATACTCTAGTTTGACCCGTGTTAAAATGTGGTATAACACGGAAGAAGGGCATATCTAGAAGAATGTTCTGGGGTTGTATTGGGTTGAAATGTGGTGGCATGTTCGACTGGATTCTCATTGCATGCACTAGGTATAGGCTTAATGATGGTGCTAGTGGGTGTAGGATATTGTTGAGCTAAACTTGGTTCAAGTAGTTGTTCATTGCAAGCCTTATTCCCTCGATTATCAACTGCGCTTGGTATTGAGTGTTTTGGAGAATTACTATCGTCTCTTGGCTATTGACTTGGATGCTGAATGAGACTGCATGTCCCATTAGGCCCATTTCCATCCACAAGAGAGGTTGCTAATCTTGATCCTGTGGAGGTTGGACATAGATAATTTGAGGATTCTCTGGTTGTGGGGAGGGAATGGAGGTAGGATTTCCATTGTTTGAGCTCTGTGTTGTCTTAGGATTTGGATGAGTCTATGTCTTATCCTTAAAGTAGAGGGAATTCTAGGCATTATTTAAAGATTGTTGAATATTTAAAGGGCTATTGGCAGGCTTGAGATTAATGTTTTCAGTGGTAAGAGGGAGATTGGTGGCTAGTGCAATGATTCGGACTTTAATTTGCATGTCCTCTGAGTGGCCAAGGGTTTGATTTATAGGGAGATTTTCCATGGATATAGTATCCATTCCATGTTCGGNTATTAGTCTTTTGTTTCAATTGGATGTTAGGCATTGTAGAGTTAGAATTATTATCGGAGTTAATTTGATTCTTAGTGGGATCTAATTGCATGTCACAATTTTCCTTAGCATTTTCAGTTGACACATAGGAGTCTAGTATATCCAGTCATCCGCTTGGGTATCCAAATGTCTCTCTGCATGAGAAATTTTTGTAATATTTTTATTTTCATTTTTGGTGGTTTTGTTCAAAACCATTTGCTTGCCATCTAGGAGTGAGAAGGTTTTTTGGACTGGTACGGTGGTATTGCTCATAGCCAAGCTAGCCAGAATTTTTTCAACATTACTAACAAAGCTTTGTGTAGGATCTTTAGTTTTATATTGCAAGATTTGAGAATTTTCGTACTTACCCATATTTGCATTGAATAATTTTATCGTGATACCTGGGCCACCGTACTTCTCCTTTGGATTGTTGGTATTTTTCAGACTGTTTTTAGGAATTTGCCTCTTCCCTTTGTTGAAGGAAACTATTTTCCATTCTCCCTCTTGATCCTCCGCCTTTGTATTTGGTTGTTCATTGCCTGGGTATGAGCTTTCCTTGATGTCCTTTTGAATGCAAATGCATTGACCTACTGTGTGTCTAAGTCTTCCGCAATTTTTGCATAGGAAACTTTCACCTTCATAGTGAATATATTGTTTGTGATTACCAATATATATAAAAAGTTGCTCTGAAAACTCCAATGGTAGCACCATACAAAGTCTGGCATAACGACCTCTCATTGTGGTTGATGTGCATACATCAATTTTTAGTAAACGGCCAATGAAAATTCCAATTTTTTCCAGAATTTTTCCGTTATAAAACTTCGTTGGTAGTTGTGGTAACCTAATCCATACTGCTGAGGCTGTCAATTTCTCTTATGTGGCTACAAAGTTTGGCTTCTATTGCAATAGAAAGGTAATGGCCGTTGATGAACCACGGGCCTTGATGAAGGGCTTTTTTCATATTTTCTTTTCTTTTGAATTTGATTATGTAATAATGTTCCCTTAGGTCGATTAATTAAAAATCCTCCGTTGGGCGCCATAGCTCTTGAATTTCTTTTTAAGTATTGATGTAGTATACGTTTGCCACAGAGCTTAACAATGATAGAACACTTCCATGGCTCATAAATTCTTTGCCTATCCTCCTCTGTAAGTGTGATCATTTTAATGCCTCGTGTGGTAGATTTCATTAATTTCTCAAACGTTTCTTTTTCTGAGGGAGTTTCTGGCAGCTCGATGTTGGATTGGCTCAGGTTTGATGCAAAGGTCATTGGATCTGAGGATAGTAGCATATCCCTAAAAGACGCTTTGTTCTCCACGCCACACTATTTAGGTTTTGATTGATCTATATCGGGTGGTTTGTGTGGTATTGTGTTTGAAGATTCATAGGGTTGTGGAGAAAAAAAGAATGTTACTTACCTTCCAAATAAATTGATACCGTAAGATTTAACCAAATTCTTTAATCAAGCCGTCATGTGGTATGAATTTTAAAAATGAAGAAAACCCTCCTAGGGATTGCTTTTTCTTTAAATTCGAATATTGACTTAGAGGTATTCGATAGATAGGCCTATGATGAGGAACTGAGGAAAGATATGGGCGAAAATTAAATGCTCTCAATAACACTTTATTTACCTCATTTTTTGTAAAATAATTGTTCCCTCTCGTGCTTTATTTGATCCGTTACGTTAAATGAAGCAAGAAGTCAGAATTGAAAAACCTTTAATATTTGATAACAATATAGAAGTATTAGCAGTGGTTGTCACTTGTCACCTTTGACTATCAGGAAGTTTTACATAGAAATTATCTTTACTACTCGTACAACTAGTCGAGTTATCTCTAGTAATTAAGATTGTTTAATGCACATGGTAATTGTTGTACTTTGCTTTGATTTCGAATACCAGTATTGTATACCTCCGATACAATTCAATGCAGTTCTTAAGCATACGACTATCAGCTCTCTAACAAAACTAGATGGGATTGGCCCGTGCAAACCCGGGCCCAACACTTTAGGTTATAGCATGTTTTTACCCGCTCAAGAAGTAAGATTGTACTAATACCACGATGGATATAGATATTCCTATGGCTGAACAATAATTTTGGGGTCGACCTTTCAATAGAGAAAAAAATCCCAACATATTTAATTCATCATTTACATTCTATAATTCACTTTACAATGCCAACAGACTTAACCATGGAAATTCAAAAGCTACACGTATTTGCACTCATCTGGAGAACATCTGGAAAAGGTATAATGTACCAAATCTAATTCCACTCTCCTGTATTCCAACATAAAGAATTCGCGTAAATCAGTTGCCAAAAGAAACTCTTGTTCTGCAAAGTAGATATTGTAATTCACATCAATATGGTGAAGCTTTGGGATACAACAGCTAATAGCTGTATCAAAGGTGCAACATATGTATTCGGGGATAAGCAGATTATAAGTCAGAAAAGTGTTTTCAGAGGTTAGAAGTTAGGAACCAGCGTTACCCTTCTATCAGTTAAATTTACTCCCGTAAAAAGTGAGATTCCATTTTGATTAAGTCTTACCTTATCTAACTTCTAAGTTAAACATCTATGTAAGACACAAGACATATTTTATAGACTGAATTCCTAACATAGATATTTCTTTGTCATAACTTTGGGACAACAGACATAAATACAAATAAGGACAGTTTCTCTCCGTATTGGCTACCGTTATCACTTTCCGCCACAAGAAACATTTCCAAAATTTGATCAGGAGAATCTAGGGAGCCCGGCGCAGGTAATTCTCTTAGTGAAGAAGAAAATGATTAAGGCTATAAGCTTCAATAAGAAGGCGGATCTAATCATTGTACTACTTCCCTTTTTTCTCACAGCTCAATATGATACCACAAAAAGAGTATACAACAGGTAGATAACGACATAAACTAAACTATTATTCTGATCATCTTATATTCTCATTAACTTACTGCTTATGTACAATTTTGCTCATTTTACTACCACGAAAAAGACAAATTCTATTCAAATGTATTATCTGTTCTAACAATAGTCTCATCTTCTCTCTTAGAGTAGAAGGAGAAAACAATATTGAAGTATCTTACTCATAATTATTCAGTTTAACGTTATGTTTTCTTCTTTTCCAGATTGAATCGTAAATTGCAGTTACAATAGGTTTGAAAGTTCAAGTGAGACAAACTTGATTGTTAATTCTACATTACTTGGGTTGATTTTTTTATTTATCAGCAACAATATAAAATAAAGTCAAAGATGCAACATATTCTCAGTAGATAACCATGATCTCGTAACATAGATCCTTCCAAATTAAAATAACCTCAGTACTCAGAAGAATCAGTCGCTATCAAAGTTATACACACAATAATACATTAATAAGAAACCGAGTAAGATTTAGCTGATAATGATCATCACTAAAGAGTGAAAATTCATCGTAAATCACATTACCAAATAAAAAAAATGAAAAAGTACAAAGTTATCTGTAAAGTAGAGATCCAAAGCAGAGAACGTAGCATGAACCAAAGTGTTCTGATTTTTTTTTTTGTTTTAGTTTCATTATTTTTTTAAATGGGATAGACTATCTTGTAAGTTCATAATTTAGCCAAATATATTATTTGATTATCCGAGTTGAAGAGATATATTTTTCAGCTGATTCAATACAGTATATTATGGGATTCTGTCCAAAATTTTATTTTGGTTTTACCTCATCCATCACAACATCTTTCTTGGACA